TCAGGATACAGTAATAACACACAGTGCTATATTTCATTTCTTTAACAAGTGCTGAATATGCAAAGGCTCTTTTCCCAGCTTCTGTCTCTGTCTTGGAAGTGAGGGAAGAGTTGCGTGTATAATTATTTTCAGATGCCATCCACTTTATTGATTATTTTAGTGGGATGCACAAATAATGGCAGCTAATGCCAGGAGCAGAGATAGAATAAAGATTGTTCCCCTTTGGGGAAAACAGAAATAAAACCACCATATGAATGGGTCATTGAAAACAGGCTGGAATATATTCCCTATAGTCCTTCCGAAAGTTCAAGAGTAGGGGAAAAGAAAAAAAAAAACAACAGAAGAAACTGTCTCTGTGTTCACTAAACTTCTAATATCTGAAAGTGCTTAAAAAAACACACATGCACTTTTTTTTTCATATGATCATGGAAAAACACACTAAGCTTTTGACTCAATGGTTTTGTTTTTCCAGTGAGTCCTTTCCAGGTTCCACGCGCCATCTCACAGTCACGTCTGCTGGGTGAGCTTTGAGCTAACAAACTTCAGAAGAGCTTTTTGCGATTTTGCCGCATTGAGTTTCAAGTATCGGCTTGCTGGAAGCGCAGCAGAGAGGGAAAAGGGAGGGAAGTGGTGTGAGCTTTGCCAACACACCTGCACAAGCTTTGGGCTCTCCTGGACACTCCGTGCACTAATGATGTATAACCTGTAGAGCCTGGCAACACGCTTTCTGAAGACTAAAACAGACAGACTGTGCGTGCCTCTGATTTCTAATTTCTTAAAACAAGTAATAACCCCTCCTCCTCCAACCGTGTGCTGTAGGTAAATGCCTGGGATGGAAACTGAGATGTACTCAGCTGGTGAAAGCTTCTACCAAGGTAAGGAGTAAATGACATTTTAATTATGGTATTCTTGGTCTATGTATTTCCCCTTCTGAAGCAAAAGGGGCGGGGTGGGGGGAGAAATTGAAAGGACAGAGTTAATTTCAGCTCCAATGTTCTGCTAATTTGTCTTTTGACTATTAGAGGTGCAGCTGGATTCCATTTCTAATCCACTTTCAAATTTGCTTGAATTAAAATCCCAGATCACTGCTGTGTTTTCAAGTTGACGTGTGCATAGTAGCCAAAGTTTATATTACAATTTCTGGAGTTACAGAATGATGAGCTCCAGTAAAGGAAAGTGTGTTGTATGCCTGAATCCCGGGGGATAAAAAAAAAAGTTGGCCTCAGTGTTATTTGGAATTAGAGCTCACTTGTAGAATAAATAGCCTTGAAGTTAATACGCTGGCTACATTTTATATTCAGTTCCACCCACTGGAACCAGCGGGTACGGAAGAGCAAAGGTAGTGGAAAGGTAGGAATTGGAAGAGCTGGATTATTATAAAGCCTGGATGTTTCTGAACTTCAATCTGAAATTCTACAATTCCTTCATTAGAGTGGGGCTTACTTTAATAAGAAATTAACTTCCTGACTGAAACAGGACAGCAATACTGCCCTTGTGTCAAAATACCTGTGCTTTTGCTTCATCTATCCGAATCCCAGTCTAAAAGCTGACATTTCTCCTGTGGCATCCTGTTTATGTCTAAATTTAATACCATAGTCTTGTTAGACTTTGTCACCTGGGTAACACCATAACTCACATGAAGTTATGAATCCTCATATTCTCTGGGTTTTTATATCTGCCATGACAATTCCCAGCCACTGCCAGGTGAAGCCAGCCAGTATTTATGGAAAATGAACCGACTAATCATTTCCTATAGCAGGACTCGATTATGATATAATTGCAGCAGTTTATGTTGACATCCACACGGACAGATACAAGCCAAAAATTGCAGTAAGGGATCCACCCATCTACCACCCAAATGTAAACAAGCCAGTATGGTTAAAAAGAGGACTGGAAGGCAGGGCCCAGGCATTCTCTAGCTATGTTCTGGTACACTCGCCAAGATGCTGCAAACCCTTTCTGCTAGCTGTACCCTGACCCTTACCTCACACAGAAAGTTCAGCAGTGTTTTTCAGTGCCAGCTCTTTTTAAAACAGGGCTAGAAGTGTGTTATTATCGGGAGGAGTGAGAGATTATGTTTTGGATGCTGGTTATTGTAGAGTCACGACTGAGGCTTGCTATGTACTGAAGACCCAGTTCAGCATGAGCCAAGATTGCCACCACTGTAGTGTGTGCACACCACCACCATTGTGAACTCCTTTGCTCACACTGGCAGTAATGTGCATGCAAAGGGGAAAGAAGTCTATATGAAGACATCTGGAGATCAGCTGTATAAGAACTGATAGGTTTTAATGAAAGATTGGGGAGTAGATTGAAAATACAGATGTGGATTATGTGGAATTTGATCTAATGTGAAGAGAAACTCAGGTTGGCCTCCATGGAATGGCTTGGCCTGGAAGGGACCCTAAAAATCACCTAGTTCCAGCCCCCATGCCGTGCTATGCCATTGCCTACCAGTGCCATCACTCCATCATAAAAGGCCCCCTACCTGTTCAGGCACAATCTGCCCTTGCTGAAGTCATGCTGACTCTCTCATATCTCTCATCTGACACGTACTTTAACATAACTTCTGAAAGGATCTGCTCCATGATCTTCCTAGGCAGAGGTGAGGCTCATTGGCCTGTAGTTTCCCAGGTCTTCATTTGTCCTTTTCTTAAAATTGCGAGTGATGTTTCCCTTTTTTCAGTCACTGGGGACTTAGCCTGGCAGCCAGGTCTTTTCAATTAGAATAAATCAGTGTAGTAGTCCCAGTGCTGAGCAAACTTTGCTAGTTTACACAGGCTCTGTGAACTGCAAACTCCATTCAGAGCAGAGTTTCTCTCAGGAGAAATACAAAGGATTTCCCTTCAGTGACACTAGTCAATCTCACTCCACAATGAGGATTTCCCTTGCTGACAAAGAGACATGGAGAAAAGCTATCTGTGTTTGTTGGGTCTGTCCTGAGAAAAGACTTGACATCACCCTGATAATTTTCTTCCTCACCCCTCTCCAAGGTGGCATAAATTAGATTAAACTAAACTATTCCCAAAATTGCATTTCCAATAAATGAACAAGCCTGAATGAAACAGCTTCTCGTGTTTACTGATACACCTCTGTATGCAACGATTGATCCATTCCCTCTGGAGCTGCCACCAAGAGAAAATGGCTATTGCTACTCAGCTACAAGTTCTCACTCCTGTTTGGAGGTTTATGAGATCAGTTTGGTCTGAGTATAGCCCATAAGTGCACCTCTGGATACCACAAACCTCCTCAAATGCATTGGCCAGATGGAGGGAGCTCTCCTGGAGGCTGGGGCAGTTTATACTAGTGGAGGATCTGGCCTGCAAACACCTGCATCTGTGGTATGAGGACAAATAAAGGCCCATATTCCAAATACGGTGTGCTCCTAGGCTCCTAAGCCGTACAAAATCCCATTTCCTTTCTACTTGTGCTAAATGTAAAAACAGAAACAAAGGCACACACCTAAATAAACAGAAAAGCACAGACAATAGGAGAGAGGAGAGAGGCCCTAGTACAAGCCCGAAGCCAACTAGTACAAAGAGATACTTTCTACTTGCAGTCCTTTGTGTGAGACCTTGCCCTATCACGTGGATGAGAATGTGAGTGGGAGATTTGCTGGACAACTCTGGTTTTTTAAATGTCTCACAACTGCAGAAACACCTGCTTTACATTATTTTTGTTATTGGTCCTCAACAAAAATCCTCTCTGGTGAACAGTCCTCAGCAGGCCTTATTCCTTCCTTCTCTGTGGACAGCTCAAGTCACCGGTCTGGAACATCTCAGGATCACACCGGAACCCCAGTGAGGAAGAGGTGGAAGTCAGAAGGGAGAAGGGCATTTCTGCATGAGATCATACCAGAATGTTGGCTAGAGGACCAAAACCGCAGGAGACTGCTTCCCATTAGGTGGGGAGGTGGGGCAGGAAGGTTTCCCAGGCCAAATGGACAGGTCTTGAAGACCCATCTGTTTTCACCATGAAAACCTCACAGCCCACACCTATGCAACACACACCACCCCAGTCACCACAAGTTATTACCCTTGGTCTCCACCACTTCCTGAGAAGCTGTAATGGTCTGATACAGTGTCCAATGGAATCAAAGGGATCCTTTCCTTTAACTCAATGGACTCTGGATCAGGCCCAACATCTGTTTGGCCCTCTTTGTGCACAGTGCAGCCAATTTATTCTTTATCCATTCCTGGACCTCACTCTTTCTTATGGCTGTCATTAGCCACACTAAGCACTGCCCCCAGGAAGAACCCATGATTCATACTCATACAATAGAGACTAGGATGTTACCGGGCACCAGTCTTACCTAGGTCTCAAACTAACAGCAATGGGCCAGAAGACACCACCCATTCACACAGCAATATACAATATTCATTTCTTCAGGAATTCATTTCTTCAGGACTTTGATGAGCCCTTCAATTACAGCATGCTTTTGTCACCTGTCACACGTGGATTCCCATGCTATGAAATGCATGTCATTGCTAAGCAGAATAATTAGCCTCACGAAGCCAAGCAGCTTCTCATAGCAAAAAAGTAGTTATCCAGTGTCAAATCTATAGGTGCTTCCAGACAGAGATGCAGATTCGTTTTGGGCACTACCATTGTGTAACTGAGAACCCCATGCAAAAATCTGCCTCCACAATGTACCCCAAAATCACATGGGTGTGAAAATGTGAGCATGATGCCTAAGGCCAGATGTTCGGACTGGCAGACTGCTGGCACTGTGCATAGGTACATCGGCATGTCAGGTACTTACTCATCCCTGCATACTTCCCCGATAAAATCTGGATTGCCTAAAGCTGGTATTTTCACTCCAGTTTCCTTATCAAAGTATTTACCATCTCCTGTCTGTGCCTTGCAGACTGAGGGTGTTAAATGCTGCCTTACTCTGTCAGTGAGCTCAGGCATGCAGGAGCTGCCATACAGGATGGGATTTCTAAACCCACCAGAGCACGCAGTGGGTGGCTCCTGGCTTAGCCTCAGTAGGATCTCACCTTGTTTGTACCTGGGACATTTCTCTTTTGATCCCGCTGTTGGCTTTCTGCAGCTGGCGGACTCCTTCTTGTGTTTTGTGGTGTTTATTGTGGTGTTTTCTGGTAGACCCCGACTGCTTTTACAAGATGCTGTCTTCCACGGAGCATCCTAGCCCAGTGCAGTTGTTATGTGGCTGTACGAAGAAAAGGAGAGTTTTGGATGAAGTAATCTTATGTGTAACGGACGTGTATATGGGAAAACCTCAAACTAACACAAATCTTTTTTTTTTCTTTTTTTTCCCTGAAAGTATTTCTTTGTTGCTTTAGATAATAATACTACATCCACTACCACAAATGCAAGTATTTCTGGGGCCTCATCAGCTAGGGCATTGGAAGAAGACATTGTTTATTCTGGGATGCTGATTTCACAAACAATTCCATGAATAACAACTGCAAGCAGAACATTCTAGGAATATTGCTTGGTGTCAATCAGACTTAAAAGGAAACTTTTTTTTGGCTAAATTAAAACAGAAAAAAATGAAATGTAACTTGATTTATAAAATGCCACCAAGTTCTATTAGTTCAAAAATGACAGTATAATTTATCAGACCACATATAAAGAGATTTTCATCTGAAATTTTTGTTCTAGTTGGATGTGTAGAAAAAAGAAGTCAGAACAAACACATGGGATAAACTGCTCAATGACTTGAAACTTCTGTCTTGACACAGACTGGCTGAAGGAAAGGAGTGAACTTCCCAGCTGCTTGTCCTACAGTAAAAAGCAGCTTCCCAGCTGTTACCACGCTGAGCAGACTTGCTTAGACCCCACTGCTACATCCCCATATATGTAGTACTCACTGGATGTGGGTGACACTTAATAGGACCCAGGAAAATGACCTTTATATTAGATTATTTACCCTCTTGCGGTTTTTCCGGTGAAAGAGGTTAGACTTGGATTAAGGCTGTTAGCATGTGTCCCAGCAAGAGCACTCTGAACCCCATCAGCCAGGGAAAAGGAGCTTTGTCTACCAGCAGCACTTGCAGTGCTGAAGGAAAACTGGGCAGAGTTCAAGGAGCTGTTGTTCCCATTGCTTTGGTTTTGGGAAAAGTCAGCACAGAAATCAGAGAGGGGACTGCATATCGGAGGTGGTGTTAATTAGGTGCCACTTATAATGAAGATACGAGAGCATGAGCTTCAATGGGAGCTGGCTGCATATCCTGCATTCAGCCTGTATCCTCTTCTCCATCCTCCCCCCGATGGTATGAGGACTGGATAGGCTGAAATCACTTTGGAATACACCTGCTCTTGCTGTGATTTCTACTCGGCCCATTCTGTGATGTTTTGGATATGCGCACCTGCCACAAGGCCTGCCTGCATGCCTGGGTGCTGGGTGCCCAGAGCTTGGGGACAAGCAGCCCTGAGAGGCCTCAAGCGAGAAACACAGGAAGGCAGATGCTTTGCAAAGTGCTGAGAATAAAACCTGGGGAACCATGCAGTGCAAGAGAGAAACTAAAAAATTACTCCTGTAGTGAAGAAACCACATAATATATTCAAGATGTCAGAGGTTAGCCGTGGTACATGTGAATCATGCTGCAAATAGCTCACCTTTAACTTTACCGTCGTAATTAGATTACAAAGTTTTTATTATGGTTTTAAATTCTGCCTTTATAGGTTGCTGCCCAGCTGTGCACTTAAATCTGGTTTTATCACACTTTCTGAGCTCATCACATTTAATTCTGCCTCTACAATGCTGGATTAACTTTAAGGGTCGCTGAAGTCAGAAGTCACTCACCCTTGCCCTGCTAATGGATTCACACCACCCCTACGTGGTCCCAAAGAGTGATGTGTACAGTAAACTATATTTATTGGTGTGGTAGAGGGGAAGGGGTGTTGGGACTGTTTGCTTATTTACTCCACCACTGCACTTAGCTATCAGGGTATTTGCACAGATTACTGCATCCACAAGATGATGTTTACCTCCATGTAATAGCCTGATACAATGAAATCTTCTCAGCAAAGCCAATCTGAGAGCTAAAGAAGAGAATGCTGAGGTCTGCCTGTGAGAAGCGGATGGCTGGATAATGAAGTACATAGGTTTGTATCATCTGAGGAACTGATCAATTGTCTCCATTCAGAAATCCAGAAATCACACCTTGCCGTCACACTCACTCCTGCCAGAAAGCCCAGACCTGGTATTTTATGGATCCTGTCTCTGATATTTCAGGAAGCCCCAAGAGGAATAAAAACCCATTATTTTTCTAAGGATGACTTCTTTGTTTCTAACACCAAGAATGCATGGCAAAGCACAGATGAAACTCTTCATCTCCACAACATTCATCCTCAGGTTTTACCTTGATTTTTCTTCTTTGACCAGCGGAGATCAGATGGTTTGGTGCTAGATACTTCCCAAACAAGATGATTCACTGTCTTGAAAAATTCATCATGTAAATGGGCAAATAAGGGGGAAATCATATTCCTTCCATTAAAAAATGGAGAAGTCAGGTGCTGAACATCCAGGTGATTTACATGAAGTCACAGAGGGTTTGAAAGGGATCTGGGAAATAAAACTAGCTTCAGTGGAAAGGTCATTTCTCTCTTTCTTGCAGGCAAATACTTTGAACAGAATTAGAATGGACCTGAGCCAGAAATGGACAGCAGGGACTTTAAGGAAAATCAGAGGGCAAAATTCATCACTGACCAATGCCGTGACAATTTGTAACCTTTGCCATTCAGTGACTAGACACAACATTTTGGAAGCGAGGTTAATAATTTTCAGCAATATACAGCCTTCTTTTAAGGAATGTGTGGTGATTACGGCAAAGAATTTCACATGGTCACAAAATATCTACCTTAGAGTCCTGGGCTTATAAAATACTCTATTTCCTCCATTAATTGTGTCCACGTGGAGCTGTAACTAAGTAGCTGAAACAAATAAAACCAAAGTAATATTGTTTCCTTTTAAAATATTTCACTTAATTTGTGGAAGAGGTTTGGGCTCATTAAAAATAGACCATCTCCCACGAGGGCTTTTTTCTTCTCCAAGACTCTCACCAATCCTTAGTAATGTGTATTGCAGCACACTTCTCTTCAGCACAGCCCTGCTGGAAGCTGGTCTCCTGTTTGACTCAGCAGCTCCTGTCATGATCTGCAGCATGGCCAGGCAGCACTCATTTGACTAAGCAAAAGGAGGCCTTAGCGTCCTCGGATGAATCATTGCTTTCAGATGACCACTCGATGTCTCTGACTAAAATTTCCTCCTTCTATCTCCAGCTCATTAGGAAATACCACGCCTTTCTCCCTCGTAAAGATTTGGCTATCATGAACTATGCTTTTCTCATGGAGTATGTTCCTCTCAACCATGCAAATAATGCCTAGAATTCAGCTAGCACCTATAGAGTGGAAGTTATTGAGGCACTTGGTATCTTCTTGTGGATCTTAGTCTGCTCCCTAGTCTAGACCAAGTAAGTTATGGATCAGTTACTGGTGAAATCACAAACCTCTGTGTCATCTGTGACAGTTCCATTCTCCAGGCTGATGTCAATCACAGACCAGAAAACAAAGCATGTAAGACAGAGATAAAGAGCAGTGTGGAACAAGAGTGTAAGTCTGCAAGAAAAATGTGCAGAGGAGATCAAATGATTTCAGAGGTTCCTTTCCTACTGAATATTGTTTTTCCAATGTCTTCAAGATATCTTCTCCTATTACACCCACTCCTGAAGAAATGTTACTCCAGCCAGAGCTCTCTTTAAACAAAAAAAGGGAGAAGATCTGCTGATTTCACAAAGTCCCAGGTGAAATGTCCCATTACTGGTGTGCTCTGACCAGGAAGGTGCTCACATTGCAGTGTAATAGGAGCGATGCTGAGACCCAACATAGATGGTGGATGGATCTGACAAAGGTGGGCCAAGTATGCAGGCAACCACTGAAGTTACGGTAAAGGGCAGAAGTTTAGATTGTGGCCTTCTCTACACTGGCATGTTTCACAAGGTAGCAATGCCTTGCTGGAACCCAGAATCCTCACTATCACCCAGAATACCAATGGAAACTTGAATGCTCATCAGATACCTGGATAAGATTTCACAGTATGTGCACTTCAGCCCTGTTGCATAAAGACATTTCTATAAAATTAGTCCTATTACTCCTCTTTGATTTTCTCCCTCCCTATTGTGGTCACACTGCAGAAGAATTTATCCTGATGCTACCAGGCAACAGCAAAACTATTAATGATGGGCATCCGAGACAAAAGATGTACAGCTGTTCAGAGGCTGGGTCACTCCAGTTCTTCTCATTGGTTTTTGTTCTCTTTCTAGGGGGGGAAGCCACATCTGGAAAATTACTGGTGTCCTGCTGTTCCCTATGATCACCACTGGGAACTGGCATATGGTCTTGTAAACTGTGATTAGATCTACAAAGTAAACTCTCATTATGACCTCTCTCAAGGTCTTTAAAAACACATTTCCCTAACTGCTATGATTATATTCAAATTCTTTCATTTTAGTAATGACAATGTTGTCCACATTTTCCTCTCTTCCTCATTTTCTGATCATAATCTTGTGGGTCTCAATAGAAACATCAGTTCACAATTCTTTTCTCCCTGTGGTCTCCAGCTCTTGGCATTAACACTCTCCTCCCATCAGAAAGACAATAAAAATACAAACAGTTCTGGATGAGCTGAAACTGAAGTGTGGAGCTTTTCTGGAGCATATTAAAAGGTAACAACCACTAGTCGGTCATTTATATTGTCCTAATTATTATTATTGCTTATTTTAGAGTCCCCCATAAAGATGATAGCTGAGATCAAGGCCTGATGATAGGGCAGATGCTCTGCAGACAAAGTGTGAACGCTGTCCTGTCCCCAGCAGCCTGGAACAGAACTACACCAATGCTGCATGAAAGTGCATGGCATCGTGAGAAATGCTTTCTCAGTGTGAGAACCAGAGCCCAGCTGAATTAATCCTATGTCACTGCCACTCCTCTGATGTCTCTCTGTATAATCTGAATTCTTTCTTATGCATCCTCTAGTGATCATGAACACAGCTGTAGCAAGTGCTTCTTTTTAACAGAAGGCACAAACCCCAAAACTGCCATTACTCAGCCCCAGGAAACAAGCTCCCAGCAACTGGGTTTTGCCCAATATCTTGCCCCCACTATAAAAACCGTGGGAGAATTTGAGTAGGATGAAGATTTCTGCCCCAAGTATGTTCATTTCAGAATATAGTGTCATGCTCCAGGCAGGCACGCAGTAGTCCTGGGTAACTTCAAAAGAGTTAATTCAGGATCATCTCTCAACCTGTAAGAGCCAAGAGGGAGAGCTGGGCCTGCTGATTCTGCAGGGACCAGCTTAGGGACTTCAGCACCTGGGAAAAAGGCATGTGACCACAGTGAGGTAGTTTGGCTCATCTACGTTGTTCTTCTGTCCTCTGAGGGACGATGTGCAAAACTTACATACTGGACAGAGGGCTCTGCATTGCTTATACCAAATTTGTAAGAACTATGCAATATTACTAAATATACATTGACTGTGACAGAAAAGCCTGCTCAGACGTACCGTGGGAACTAAAGAGGTGTACAGGTCCAGCAGCAGTTTGTTTCACAGTGGAGATTGTGCATGCTGCAGGTCACATTTCCCTCTGCAGTCATCTTCTGGATTGTATTTATCTGTGTGTCAGAAATGAAGACACAGACATAAGAACACTTAATGTTTTTTTTTTTTTTTAATCTAGATAAAAAGGGAATCGATTGACATCTCATATTTCTGGGGTTTAGTGAGATCATAACTGCACTTTAATTGGTTTAATTACTACAGGTATGTAATGTAGACCTGTAATATAGTTATACAATGTATGATATGTGTTATATATAATAAAATACCACAGGTCATATAACACAGTTTTCGTAACAATTATTAGCAGGATTATTAGTAAGATTATCAGTAGTGAATATTCAATGACATGAATAGAAATTTCCCATGAGTAATGTCTTCAGGATTCAGCTCTTCTTATCTAAGCTTCTAAGAAGAACATATATATGAAGAAAACATAAAAGTTTTGAAATATGTAAATATTTGGAGGCTGAGGTTGAATTTGGCTTCAGTAAGCTGGAGGTATAAGTTCCTCCACAATGTTTAGGCACATAACTGCCACTTCACATTTCCACATTTGCTTCAGAAATACATTTTTTCTTTATTTTTTTCCACGTCTGGCTCAATACTCACAGTGGTTTTCATAATATATCTGCTGTCTGCGTTTTGGAAATGGCTATTAACAGTCACACAGTGTTTTCCAAACATAATTGTTTAGATCTCTCTGGTGACACAGTTAGCATCTGGGAGAAACACAGTAGTGTGCAATTGTGTCTTTAATTATCTTTCCATTGTGAGAAGGGCTGGTACGTGCCGAGGCATTTATTATACCCGACAAGAACAATGTATTTACAATGGGTGTTTATACACTAATTCTTTATAAAAATACCTTGACAGAAAGTGCTCCACCTGCCCTCATGTTCTCTATCGCAATTGCTAATTAATATTATTGTGCTGAAAATGATCCTATCTATTAAAGCTTCTGTCATAACTGCTGCTCCCTGCCTATCTATGCCTAATTAACCTGCCACTGACTCACATGCTGGGAAGGATGTTTGTTAGGCAGATGTAGCCTTGCTGATCTGATTTCCACTGCTCCATTTGATTTTACCTAGAGCCCTCCATTCAGCTAAGTATGTGCCTCACCTGAAGGATGTCCAGTTGGTCTACATCTCCACTCAGCACTTCTTGCACTCAGCCACTGCTGCTGATTAAGGTTTAGTGCTATATTCTAGTACTTGGCAATGCTCCCATTGATATTACTGGAAACAGGGCTGACCATAAGCATATATTTAAAGCCAAGTGCCACCTGATTCACTCTGCCAGTTACAGTGCTTAAGATAGAGTGTGCAAAATGATTCTGAAAAATACCGTACAAAAAGATTGCATCTGTTCTGAATTTTCTGTGTATATGTCAAGCTAAAAAGATGTTTATACTGCTTGCATAAATATGGGCTGATTCTTCAAAGTGAAATAGAATGCAACTGTTTTGCAGGTTTGGTCTCTGGGAATTATGACAAAGGCTGGGAAGGACAATAGTGAGAGCCCAGCTGTTGCTCCCTGAAGAGCCACGTTCAAAGACTGAGTGCTGTCTGTAAGACGCTTTGCGCTTTATTCTGGGCTCGTATCTAAGTACATAAAGATACAAACAGAAGTCTAATGTGATTGTCAAAAGAACATTACTCACCCCTCGGGAGGCCTCTTCTTCTGCCAAAGAGCTCCTGCCTGGCTCAGCTCAAATTGCAAAATCTCCATGTTCTTCTGTTTCCCATCTGTTACAAGAGAGATAATTACAGAGGTGCTAAGAGGATAAACACGGTAATGTCTGGGAGGTGCTCAAAAAAGGAGTATGTAGGATAGATAGAGCACGAGTAGTTACTCTTGTCTCAAGGCATGCCTGAACTCTGCAGTGACACACTTGTTAGTTGACCACAAACTCTGCTGTGATGTGGTCCAACAGGGCTGGGTAAGAACTCTCAGGTTACGCAGTTGCCCTCTCCAGGTTTGCTTCAGATTAGCTGCTAAGAAGTGTTAGACTCTGAAGACATCTTAGGCTTTTTCAATGACTAAGAAATCATTATGATCTCCTGGAGGAGAAACTTTTACATCAGATTTCTGGTATCCTTCTGTGCCATGGGAGATACTGCCAGTTACGGTGAAACATATGCAGGGAACAAAACCCAATCTCTTCTTCCATTCTCCAAGAAAGTCTAACTTAAAATATTGAGGATCATTCCAGCTGGAAACCACTTCTTCATCCATCCCAGCTTGCTAGGCTGCTCTTGGCAATAAAGCTGTTTGCCACATGTTTCTCAATATGTGGCAAAGGGGGGAACCCATCTTGCCAATCTGGCAAGTGGGGGCCATGCAGAAGGAAATGGTGTCTTAAGAGAAAGATGTCATGTAGTGAGCCACTGTCTCTTTTCCTTGGGACCAGCTCTATGGTGTGTGTTACAGATGAAATTCCAGGCAAATGTGATGAAATCTTGTGGAGGGATGGCAAAGTGATGAAAGCCATGCACATATGCCATCTATTAGATAAGGCATTCAAACTTTTTTTCTTGAAATAATCAGTAGCAGCTAATATCAACCAAAAAAAGGGAAACAAAGCTTAAAAAGTGAGCCTATCTTGGAGCATAAAAAATTAGTGAATCAAAAGGAAAAGAAAGATGTGGAAAAATGAAGTCTTCCCCCCACTGTGAAACCATGGTGTTCTTGTAAACAAAGGGAAAGGAGATATTTATTCACAGAGTAATGCAACCATGCCACTGTGCAATGAAACGTTGGTGTCTGTGCATCTTCAGCACTAACCAGGATTTAGGCATGGCAGAACATGCTCTATCTAAGCCTGCTCGCAGGGAACCCCAGGGTCCCCTACCCAAAAGGAACACTTTCCTCCTAGACATCTCTGACAATCCTGACCTTTCTCCTGCACTTGGAGAAGAGCTGGAAGGTGGGTAGAACTGACCATACTACTAGTACATTGTGGACAAATAACCTTTATGAGAATATTGTTCATCAGTGATTCCCACAGGAGCTGAAGGTATGAGGCTCCTCACCAGATCATCACGTGCTATTGTTAATAATAATAACAATAATAATAGAGGGCAGGGGAAGAAATAATATTGCAACTTCCTTTCAACCGTGAGACCTGTATGTGTTGGGAGAGTGAGGATTCCACAGGGCACTTGACTCTGCCTTCTTTGAAGCAGCAGTAAATAAGAATGTTTGGAAAAACTTAGTAAGAGCCATATGAAAGCACCATATCCGTATGTGGTTATGTAAGGTATATATAAAGAATATACATGTATTTCTTTGAAACAGGGAGCTCCACCAGCAGATCCCTTTATGACTACACTTTGCTTTGAAAGGAAAACATCCAAAGGAAAATGAAAAATGTCAAGAGCACTGCAATTGTTCCACTTCAGAATTTAGAGCATGAAGCATTTGGCTTTTTTACTCTAAAGTTTTCATGTAGATCATTATGCAAGACTGTGAAAAGCAGGAGTAGAGACATCAGATTTGGGCTCCATTCTTAGGACAGAAGGAAGATTTTTTTTTTTCCTGGGGCAATTCCTAATCTCTAAAGTGAAATGTCGAAGTTCTTTCTTGCTATGGGTTTCAAGCTCATACGTCATTTTGAGCACTGCTTATATTCCTGTCTATATCACCACCATCACCATGGCAGCTGCACATCGTGTCTCCTGGCTTAACAATCCTCACAGAACCGATGGACCACGGAGAGACATTACTATCCTCACAGCTCTGGAAATTGAGGCAGGGAGCAAGTATGTGAATTTTTAACTTCATCTAGAGCTTTGCTGACAGCACTAGGTGACAAGCTGGTTCTTATGAGACTGTGATCCACAGCTCTGTCAAAAAAATCTCCTTCTCTGCTCTGTTTTGAGTAAGTCTGGGTACTGACAAGGAGGCTTTTGTTGTTGAGGAGTTGGCTGTTGGTCTGAGCTCTCGCACTCTTGTTAGGGAGGCCATGAAGGGAGAGCAGAGTGCCGATCCCAGCAGGAACACATGTCCTAGGTTTGTCCGTCTGCAAAATAATTCTTCTGCATGTCATTTAGGCTGAGAGCCGAGCCTGGGATCTGCTATATGGCTAAGTTCCCTCCTCACAGCAGCCAGAGCAAGCGTGGTGACAGTTCTGGGGAAGGAAATTGAAGTGTTTTGGGAAGTTATGGCATGGGGAGTGACATCTGTGGCAATGGGCTCATTAAGTGCAGGATTTGGTGTACATACATATGTACATACATATTACATATATACATATTATATTATTACATATTATAACGAGGTCATATTCTCAGAAAACTAGAACTTGCCAGCAAAACAAACTAAATCAGTCAAGCTCATGATTCAGTTTGCTTCCAAACTCATCTTTAACCTAAATTCTTCTCAAGGTCATCACAAGTGGGCTTGTATGAATCTTAGGGCCTAATCCTCATCTAGTACAAGCTGGAGTAAGTCCATTAAACTCAAGGGAACCTAGCCAGTTTACATCAAAGTGTGGTTATTCTTAAGGTAAGTCGTTTAGAAATATGTAAGTACTTAAATCCAGTTATTTTTTTAAATAAAGCAATAAATCAGAAACCTACCAAGATACAGACTATCCAGTAGTTTTTTTTTCAAGTCATGGGACAAACGTCCTATATATTACAGAGCCACAGAATTGCAGGGTTGGAAGGGACCTCAAGATCACAGTCCAATCCCTGCTAAAGCATGTACCCTACAATACATCAAATAGGTAGGTGTCTAGCTGGGTCTTGAATATATTCATAGAAGGAGACTCCACCACCTCTCTGGGCAATTTGTTCCAGTGCTCCAACACCCTTACTGTAAAGAAGCTCTTCCATAAGTTTATATAAAATTTCCTGTGTTCAAGTTTTAGGCCATTGCTCTTGGTCCTATCACCATACATCACTGGGAAGAGTCCACCCTTATCCATTTGCCTCTCACCTCTCTTTAGGTATTTATAAGCTTTAATCAGATACCCCCTCAGTCTTCTCCCCAGGCTGAACAGATCCAGGTTACTCAGCCTTTCCTCATAAGGGAGATGCTCCAGACACACTGAGTCACTTATACTGTCATGTGGGAAGGTAGAAAGGGCACTGAGGCCTCTGGGGAGTATTTCCCAGCCCATCTTCTGCCAAGAAAGGACATCCAGAAGTATGTGGGACTGATCACAGGGCTCAACAGTGGTGGCAGCCAAATGTGCCACCAGGAGAGAAACTGGAGAAGAAACCAGGGGAGAAGAGAGGAGACACCTCTCACTTGCAGTGCCCAAGATTCCTGTGCCCCAGCCCTGCTGCATCTCCTTCAGCATCTGCGTGCTCTCACCAGCTTCTCACAGGCTCACCTCACTAACTGAAGAGGTGCACCTATCTTCAGAGAAATTCTTCTTGGATTACATTAGATGTGCATTTGTTTAGCTGCGAGATCAAACAAACCCAGCTCAGATGGCCCCGAGAAAGCACTTAGATGAAAAACGTGTCTAGAAGTAATGAAAACCTGTGCAAACCCTAGCCTTATTTCAGCTTTTAAAACAGATCAGCATCAGCATCCAGAACCCTAGATACTGCATTCCAGATTGAATTTTGAAGCTTCAAGAAGGAACAAACCATAATAGGCCTCTGTCATGGTATGACAGGCTGACATGGTTGGCTCAGAATAGTCCCTTCATGGGATCGAGGGACAGATGAACTTTGTGAATTACTTTCAGTTTTTTGTATTAGAGAACAGTAATTCCCCTTGCTGCAACCCAATTTCTAACCACAGTGAATTGCTCTGAGCTCAGTCCCAGAGATTCCTATTTGTGGGAACAATCCCCATCTTCAGAAAGAGTAAGACGGGAATGAATGAATGAATTCCCTCTGGAAGAAGAGACTGTTTGGAAGCTTAAGAATGAAAAAAAAAGATGGTTACCTGGATTGGAAGTGGCTCAGGAGATCAGAAGAAGCAACAACAGCTCTGAAAAAAGGAAACAAACCCAGTCACATCTCTTTTAAAGAAAAAAGGTTAAAACCCAAGGATGACCCAGGGACCAGAAGCTCTTTTGCTTTGGACCATCACCTCTAAAGACCCTAGTACAGTGGCCTCTGAAAAAGACTGGGGTCTTTAGGTATTGAGTACAAAGAATATGAATAATATCACCTAATAAAGCACTGAGTTGGAGAAACATCTATTTTGATCTATTTGTGGGTTGTTTTTTTTTTAACTTCTGTACTTAAGTAATTGTCTCCCTTTAAAAAAAAAAAAAAGGTGTGCATAATATATGACAGAGGCAAAAGAATATTAAAGTAGTAATTACTTCTACTTAACAATTAGTAGTACTGTTTGAGAATGTTTTGAATGAGATTTATTGTATGTTTGCTCTTTTTAAATTTAGAATTATAAGCTTAGCTCTGATTATTTTTCCACCAAAAATTAAGAATAATTTATAGCACTTTTTTTGGGGGGGGGGGGAGGGGAGAGGGGGCTCTGAAGAGAGGGATGCAAAAACAGGAAAAAACATGTAGGAAGGATAAATTTTTTTGTATGTAAGCAACGTTTAAATGGACTAATTAAATTTACCATAATCAATAAAATGTGTGAGTCAAGTTTATTGAAGTGGCTATTTCCCATTGCATAATTTCCCTGGGGAACTTTCATTTTTAATTCAAAAATAATAATAAAAAATAATAAAAAAAACCCAAGCCCCTGAGCACTTACTGTAAATATGCCAGCATATGTGTGAGGTTAAGAAAAGCACGAGCCTACACCCAGGAATCAAAGAGGGGCTTACCACTGCTTTGACACTAATTGTAAAAGCTAAACATTTTCTAGAAACATAATCAAATATTAACTGCCACGGGGGACTCATTCAGCAGTTCACAGTAATTCTAATAACGTACAGAGCCTTTCACCTTTAGGTCACCAGTTCAAACCCACTTTGGGCTAGTTAGTAAACAGAAGGTAAATCCCAAGTCCAGTGAAGAGCCAGAGGACGGTATATGCCAGTGCATCTGTCAGGCAGAAGTGAGAAAGTGCGTTCCTTTTGTTTTCTTCTTTGCATCCTAGGTCATCCATGATTCCCCTGTGTCCAATGAGGCCATCTCTTCTGTGGACTCACCATACATTCCTTGGCCTCAGATCCTCCCTTCTGGAAATGGAATGGGGAACTGCTCTTCTTGCTGCCCTTTCTCAATGGCATCTTGCTGCGGTGTTTCTAAATATTTCTGTATCCTCCCTCTCAGGAAAACCTAAGTAGCAATATCACTACTGTCCCCCTTCTGTGTGCACAGTTCCTCCTAATGAATTATTTCATGTACTTGGAGCACAATGTGGAAAACACACTGATCTAACATGTAATTGAAAATAACCGGCCCCCACCCCCCTGCCTCAGGCTGCACAACAACCGGTTCTGCCAACAACAGCACCATTTGAGAACAGAAGCAGAGTCCTCATTTCAGCTTTGCACCTGGCTTCAGGTAGGAATTCTCACACTGCTTGGAGCCACCGTGGCTTCTACATGAACTCACAACTCCAGCCTGAGCCCTCGGCACCGACACTGCTGACTGCCCCAAAGCAGCTCAAATTTTGTGCCAAACACCTACACGTCTCCCCACTACACCAATGTCTGGACAGATCCTTGCTCTACCATGTCTTTCATGAGGAAAGCACGAATTTGGCTCCTCATTTTTTTATTTTTATTTATTTTCCCCAGCTGAGTGCCAACCAGAGGATGGCTATGTGAAGCAACCTAAGAACAGGTGGTGACCAACACAGACAGTCTCCTTCCTCACACACACAATCTATGTCTTGTGTGCACAGACACAGCAGACGCTGCCTCAGGAAACTGTACTTGCTGAGAACAAATCTTGTTGTGTTTAATTTGTGGATCTCATTTTAGGCTGAATTAGTTCCCAAGGCTTGGTAAGGCCAACTTACTGCCAGGCCACAACAGCTTCTGGTGGGAAACAGCCTGCTGTGAGACGAGATCAGTTTGTGAATACATCCAATTCAAGTGATTATGATGCCACAGTCACATCGAAGCAGTGCTGCTGATCCATTATACGGTGTGCTATAAACAGCAGCTGTTGCTGTCTTGCAGGATCTATCTTCAAGTTAGGACCCACGATCAACCCACAGGCAGGTTCAACCTCCCTAGAAGCACACTGCTTTATTTATCAATGAAACATGAGTCTTGGGTGCTCCTCTGGGAGCAGAATGCAGGCTAGATGAGTTCTAGCTTGCTTCTGCTTGCTGTCTTTCGCAGGCACTCCACAGTTTCCTGCTTCTCCCCAGCCAGGCTCCATACACACAGTGAATTTGATACTTTAAGGTATCAAAATAATCAGTTTAATGCATACACACAGAAGAAATGTCCTGTGCATGCCCAGATAGTCTGTTCATGTGATGGGGAAGGGCTAGAGTGGAACGACCCCTTCCTATGGCTAGAGGAAAGCTAGACAAGGAAAACTTTGATATTCTAGGAAATCCAAAGCTCAGAGGGGATGATGTGGAGGCTGTTTTATGGTATTTAGTTATAGCATGCAATCCCATCTTTCTGGCTATGTTGATATATAAATATATCCACGTACGTGCGTGAGCACACATAATAGTCTGAGGCCTCAATTGTGTCTTACTCTAATGTAGATGAAAAGTTGAGGAGCTGCAAGGAACAATTCTTTCATTGTCCTTTACACATTTGGGTTAATGTTTCCTCCTTGAATTAGTCCTTACCAGAATGTTCCCTCTCTACTCACCACAAGCTAGTAGTGCCAATTTCCCTCCATGGCAGCTCCAGTGACAGCTGTTTACTTGGAAGCTCATGGATTTGATATATGGGTGCTAGCCACAAATTAATGGAATACTTTCCAGATGCAAAGTCTTTAAACATTTAAACAATAAGCCCAAAGCACTAAGCTGTTTTGGCCATTTTTTCTCTTCGCTCTGGATGTCACTTGGAGATGATGTAATCACAATTACTTGAGACAATGAACAGAACACTTAATTGGTTTTGGAGTAACAGCATGGGTTGCTGGATGGCAGTCAGTCGATGGTGCCATTTGTCACCTGAAGCCAAGATATGAAATGGCCGAGAAGGACAGTGGAATAAAGAAGAAAAAGAAGTACTGAAGCTAACTGCTAGCAGGTGGCCTTCCCAGCCTAGTCAGAGAGCTGTGCGTGCTGGCCCAGCCTCCCGGGTTCAGGTAAGATACACTTGGCATAGACACTAAAGAACAGTTCTCAAAATGTCTCTGGAGGCTCTCTGGAGCATTTCAGAACAACAGAAGTGTGTGGAGGATGATTACAGTGAACAGGGATCACTAAAGCGCCTTAAACCTCTCCGTGCCAGGTGTTATCTAGAAATCAGTCTGGAGCAGAGGACCTAGCTCAGAAATGGAGACCCAAATCAGTCCCAGACATGTCTCTCTTACAAACTAGACCTTCAGCAGATCTCAACTTGCCCCTAATGCACCCTAATGCTGAGGACTAGGACAAGTCCTCCTGACAGCATTTGAGGGCAAAGATCAGCATACGAAAGCAGGCTAAATTTCTATGGGGCTGTAAGTTTAACTGTTGGTATCTTTGCTCAAAGACAACAACAGGTCAATTTGAAAACTTCTGTGAAGTAGAATGGCTGCACTGAAGCTGGATGGTAATGATTTATACCACCTCAGAACCTGGGCCAAGAAGTGTAACTGACTTCTTGGCCAATTTACATCACTTTTTTCTTATCCCTTTGCGTTTTCTTTGGCATCTCCTTTGCATTTTCTCATTTTCTTCCCCCAAAATTTAATGTGATCTGGTCAGTTGAGCTACCAGGACATCGATTTTTTATCCAGACATTAGGGGGAGAAACCTTCTTAAACACTTCTATCTACTTACAAATGCCAGCAAACATGAGCTGTGTGCTCTCGTATTAGACAAGGCTAAGACAGAGCTCCAAGCAGCCCTGCCTGAACTTGAAGTCAGTTCAAGCCTGAAATACTGCCTGTTTGAAGGTTTCTTCTTTATTCCTTCCAATGCTGTGATTAATTAGAGAATTAATACATATTAAAGTTATCATCATTTTTACTAGATGGAAAAATTTAAATTCATTATCTAATGGGAGGAAAATAAGCATCATTTTACAAGGGCTTTAGAGCAAGAGCGGTAATAACAAACCACCCCAAACTCTAGTCCACAGGCAGCACAGACATCTGCTAAAAAAATACGATGATTCCCCCACCCACCACCCTCAAATTTAGGGATTTGTGGGGAATACGGGCCTTGCCTGAAGTTGTTTGGCAGGAATCCTCATGCGAAGTTCTTATTTAATGAAATCATGTGGTAGTAAATCAAACACAGAACCAGGAATAAGTAAATCCACCACATCCTTTGAAAAAAAGTATGGTTTGATTCTGTCGACTCAAGTTGCCTGGGCAATGAATTATCTATATTTGTCAACTAAAAAGCCATCAACCGACAATCATCCATCTTTTTGGTACAATTTTCTAATCCTCAGCCTCAAAGCTGAGCTGAGAGCCAGCACAACATGGACAGGTTAGTCACAAAAAGACCTGCTAGAACTAGTGCTAAACTGTTGTATCTTTGCAAAGTCTGTGCAAATGGCACAAAATGCAAAACTTGTGCCCTCTTGCAAAGTGTTCACATCTGAATGTTAAAAGAAAGGTGGCAAATTTGTGTCATGAACGTGAGGGAAAGCAGGTAGAAAGAGCACATTGACATTATGATACAAAAACTTAGAAGTTGGCTTTATGGACTTGGTAGTTATGGTGGTGGTTGGTGTTGATTATCTGAAGGGTCCTTTCCAACCACAATGATTGTATCTAATAACTTCTGATGTCAGAAGGAGCCTTAACACAGATCCACTTTACATGGCTTTCTCTTTGCCCACGGAGATTCAGGGCCATGGAAAGGTGCTGAGTAGCTTTCTGATGAATTCCTTATAATTAGGTCACAACTATTACAGCTCAAAGGAT